GTATATATATATATATATATATTTCTGGGCGTTTTTTTGGCCCGCCCGGTTTACCCGGGCGGCCCCCCCGGGCCAAACCGGCCGGGCGTCGTCCTCACTCAGAAAAATAACGAAAAGTCAGGGAAATATGGCAGTTTCGGTGAAAAATTCGCCAAAAATAACACCCCCTATTAACCATTAGTGCCCGACGCCCGGTCATTATCGCTGTATCAAGACTGAAAGTTGCTATAATGACCGGGCGGTCTATTTGGGTGAAGATTAGTGCAATAGAATTTGAAAACTAAATGCTATTAAATGCTTCCAAGTTCTAAACCTATTCTCGGAGTGCGGATGGAGCCTCACTCTCGTGTTCTCAATTGCATTCTTTGATCCAGGTTTTGACAGTGCAACTAGGAGACATTACACCACATTCTGAATTGGGGCGTGAAGTGGTCTTGGCAACCATCATCATATCATTGACAGTTATTCCCCTTCAGATCTCCAAAATCTCGGACCTGGCTGCAAGGAGGTATGGACTGGGGTGCATGCACTTGAACTCTCTGGCACAGACACACCATAACGATAAAGCATTACTTCTGTGGTACCTATGACATCCACTTGAAACATTGCCTCAGTTCGGATTGTTAGGGTCAGTACTTTGTTTTTGGTTCCCTCAACTTTCCTGCTCTTCGGGGACATTGCCCGTCCTTTGGTCACCCACATGTTTATCCACCTCCCGACGAATCCAGGGTGTCAATCACAGGGTCATCCTGTATACTGCATATGTAGGCTTAGGGTTTAGGGTTTAGGGTGTGCATTGTGGAGTCTTGAGACAGTTAAAGTATTATTTTGTGAGACTGTGCAGTATCGGTCATCTCATCTTTCCATCTGGTGATCTTTCTGCTTGTTTGTCTGTCTGTCCCCCATTCGTATGTGCATATGTCTGCCAGTCACCTGCCTGTCATATGTCTGTTGTTCATCCATCCACCCTCTATCTATCTGACCGTTTGCTCGTCTTTCTCCCAGTCCATATGTCTCTCTACCACTTCATCTATGGCCAACTGGAGAAATTTTTTTTTTTTTTATGAACATTGAACATTGGTGAAGGAGAATACTACCTTCTTCAATGTGCGCTCTGAGGTTTGGCATCTACAATGATTCTACATGCGATAGAGTAGTATAGAGTCTAAGGACATGTGCAAGTGTTTCTTCTCCGTCAACTTGATAGATGCATGCCATTGCATGGAATATTTCCCTTATGATTATTCTATTGTACAGTACCAGGCAGCCGTAATGTACAGGAAGGGCCTGACGTCACCAGATTGTAAAGCATACGGTATGTACATCGAGTCATGCATATACTCCTGCTGCTGCGCTCGACCTTGCGTTAGGAGGTGTGAATCACTCCATTATCCCCTGCCTTCTCTGCCAGAATAACCTGCCAGAAGTCAGGACGCTCTATGATCCAGAAGTCATCGTATGAGTGGATTTCTGACCATAATCCCCGGACCTGGCTTCTCCTTGGTTGCGTGCTCTTTGAGTGCACAGCGCACGCACTGTGCGATGTGCGCAGTGCACGAGCTGCGGGCGGTGCGCCAAGTGCATGACCACAACAACAACAACAACAACAACAACAACAACAACAACAACAACAACAACAACAACAACAACAATAACAACATATATGTGTGCCTTTGTACATGCCTCTGGCCACTGGGAGCTGTGGGAATGGTCCATGCCATGATTGATGTCACTGATTTCTTACAAAACGATGCTGTTTTCTTGCCACAACAAACCATCCACAATCTCTTTTTTGTTGAAGATCATTCCTCTGAAACGGTATTCACCAGTTCGCAGTAGCTGATGCAGATCCCAGGGCTCGATCCCTAGCTCCCCATCTTACCTGTGTACAGTACCAGTGTCAACC